CTAATATTTCCCTCTCGTTTGTTACGGTATAGTTAGCCTTTTTGGAAGAATGGAGCCTAAGTAAAATTGGCAACATGATACTTATCGGCAAAACGTTCCTTTTCATTTTGAATGCGTCTCTGAGAGACTCAAATAATTTTTTTAATTTCCGCATCTCGACATCTTTAGCGAGATTTTACCGGAGTTTCAAGAGTTGCGCCTCCTCTCATAAGCATCGCCGTAAATGACATTCAAGCCATGATCTCTTGAGCTCAACGCATCCCAATATGTATTGTTGGTTCTTTTAATGATGGTAATTTTCCACAGACCAAATGGTCGATAAAAATAATTTGTAGCGTTAAATGGGGATATGCGTAATTGAAGAGCCCGGTTGAACGCCAACGAAGACCTTCGCCCTGTTAATCGCCGCTTTGCAAAGCTGGGGCCCTCTCTCGCCCTCTCTCGCCGAACTGGGATTTCATAGAGAGGGAAAAACTCGAGTTAGTACAAGTGCGCTCGGCCATCAATCCGCGTGTTGACATTAATTTCTAAAAACTGTACACCTACAAATGCCTATTTTCGCATTTGCATGTATGCAAGTTCAGTACCAGTTCATTTAGTTCGCAGACGAAACTGGAAAGAGTCGAAGTCTTGGATATCAATATCTATACCGAGAATCAATGGTAATTTGACTTTTTTCTGCCTTTCTTTTTTCTTATTTTTAAACTTTATGCTAACAAACACGGCAAAACTTCCAAAATAAAATATTGTTCTGTCCTGAATTTCACAGCTGATAATTTTTATAAGAAGGGTCAAGAAAATTTCAATTTTCTCACTCTCTCTCCCTCTCCCCTTCTTCCCACAAGGACCATTATTTGTTGCATCCAGATTCAATTTGTCTTATTCAAGCAATTTTCGGCTGGTTTCGGCAGTTTTGGCCGAAGACCACGTTGTAAAACTCGTCGATGACGTCATGGGAACGCATAACTCCGGATGTTATCGTACTTTTTCTGCAATATTTGGCTATTTCGTGCTGTACTTTTTCTGCAATATTTGGCTATTTCGTGCTGTTTGCGGCAATTTTCCGCCATTTTCGAGTCGTAGGTGTCCGGTCGTAGTCTACGAGGCGATGCACGGTGCGGAACTGCCATTAGCGGCGTAGACAAAAATCAAAAGCACCGTAAAAATAGACATATACGAAACCATAAAGGCATGAAATATTCAATTGAGCCCCACTGTACCATTATTTAACGAATTTTGACTCTCTTAGCATCCTAGAGGTGGTACAAAAGGTCAAAAAAGGCTATGCGCTAAATACATGTATATTTAGAAGTTATATGACACTCAATATTGTGACTAAAAGTGCTGAGTTTAACCGGATTTTAACCCATTTTGTCATTCAAATATCTCCGATAGTTGCAAAAAGACGCAAAAGTTCTTTTGTGAGATTGAAGTTGAGTGTCCAAAAAATGATAAAACGCTAACCACCCAGAGGGATATCCCTAGATTTCGAAAAATTTTTATCCAAAGTTGACAACTAAAAAATTGTGTATTTCTTATGGGATAGTTCCATTTCGATCGAATTAACTTTCATTACAAATTCATACTTAAACGGGTTTTTGGAGGAAATTGAAAAAAAAAAGCATACCCTCATGTCAGATAAATTGCCTTATCACGATTATCGTAACAATTTTTGGAAAAGTTGAAAGTCAATTTTCAATTTTTGTCCAAGGGATTCCGCACTGTGCGATAGTGTGAAAAAATTATAATTTGAAAGTACGGTAAAGCCGCGCGCAAGATGGAACCAAAGATGGAGCGCGGATGGTTTTGGTATTTTGACGCTGCGGACGGTGGTGCAGCGGGCAGGAAATTATCAATCAGAGTTCTAATCGCTGAAATCCACTAGTAACTGTGCATTTCCATCAAAAACGTACTTAATACTTTTCGCACGTTTCGATGAGGTTCTGGCACGGAGCGCCGGCTGCGCCGGGCCGGGTCTTTGTCGACGCATTGTTGCCAGATCAGCACTTCTCCCCTATTTCGACCCTATTCAAATATCCTTATTATATCGTCTAACGTGGCAACCTTGACGGCCCAGTTGATGGGGCTATCAAGCGCATTGGCACACACGCTCCTCGGCGTCAGCGTCGCACAGTGGATAGAGTCAATAGGAGAGCTCGGACAAAATTTGAAAACTTTAAACGCTTTTAACTCGGTTTTTACACAACTTTGAGCTTTTGGAGTTTCCCTCTAGTAGCATCCTTTTAAATGTGAAATGTGAGGAAATAAACATGAAACTTTGTAGTTTTCGTCAAAAATGTGATGAGCGACCTCTCTGATTGACTGGATCCACTGTTCGTCGATTCATGGATTCAACGACCGGACCGGGACCGGCTCTCCACTGCCGTATGCAAGGCATAGTCAAGAACGCCTTATGATATCAACAGTCCAGAGTTGCCGAATTTCCTTCAAGAAAATGTATATTTTCAAGGAGAGCCATGAATATTTTCTCTTGACATTTCCAGATAATTTATGTGTAATTGCGAAAGAAATTTTCTGGAAAAATGGAGGAAATACCTACATTCAAAGATTTCCCTGATAATTTGTAATTCATCTCATAAATTTGGCAACGTCTAAAGCCTCTCACGGCAATTTTTTTTAGGACGGCAGTTAATGAGTGGATTATGCGGTGGACCGCATTGGCTGGAACATGGGCAAGGACCAAACGAATATTCGGTACACGATTCATGCTTTATTCTCTTCCCTTTGATAGACATTTTTCAAGAGGCTAAAAGCGCATACTTGGAGCATTTCCCGATGGATCGACGTATAAGTAAAGCCCCGCGGCGCCGCACCGTCCAACAGAGACGCAGCAAAATTACTCTTGATAACACTCGGTGGAACTCATCTCACCTCTGTTCTCAACATCCATCAAGCCATCAAGCGAGTTATAGGAAGGGTGAAAAGTTGCTTCCTCCACTCACTTGCGTCAGATTCAGAATGGGACGGTGCTGTGCAAGCGCCCCGACGCTCATCGCCCCGACCCCCGACGCCCGACGCTCATCGCCCCGACCCCCGACGCGACGAATTAATCAAAGGATCCTAATATAAGATTCGTTTAAGTGTTTCCTCTACTTAGTCTGGTCTTAGTCAAGGTCTGGCGGCTGGAGAGTAGCAATGTTTATCATAAAATTGAGACTAAAATTTTAAGGGAAAAATTGCGTAGGGAGTTAAGGGTAGTATTCATTCAGGTGGTTCCTGAAACAGCTCCTTTCCGTTGGGGGCCCCACATGCTTTACATGCTCATTAAGGGATGCTAAAGGGGATTCTTTTTACATATAATCATGAAACGAACTATTATTTCGAATTTCGAGTAAAATTTGATGTACCATTACCATATAACCTCGGAATAGACCCTCGGAGGGGTGCAAAAGGGATCGTGAATTCTCTTGTTGTGCTGCTTGCCTATTTTGCAATCGCTGTAAATGAAAACTAAAGGGGTTGATATGTGCGAGTTAATGACGCGCCTTATCAACACATTGTGATGGCATTCACTGCTTGTTTTGTTTTGTTTTTTTTTTTACTTTGACCTTCTCCATGGGTGTCATATGTTTCCCTCGATGCATCTGACGAAAAACAGTTTCTCTCGCTACACCCACCATATGGATGAACCATTCGGCATGCACCAATATATTAAACTATATCAAGATCATCATGTCACGTATGTTGCTTCCTGGGAAGGAAATTGTGGAGCGCCTTATTTTTTGGGATGATGACAGTGAAACGCGTTGCTTTCTGTGCTGGAAGCCTCTCAAGCGCGCTAATTTTGGGGAATGAAACAGTTAAACGCGTTGTTTTATGCGTTGTCGCAATTATAGCAAAACATCAAATTTTGGGTAAGGTAAATTATGAAAGTAGGAAAGCTTAAAGTTTTCTGCGCTCCTGGACCTATGTAAAGAATTTCAATAATTCGCCATGCTGCAAAAAGTAATAAATATAAAGTGATATAGTAATAAATACAGCCGAGTAACGAATATTCGGGGTTCGGGAAGTGATGGGGAGAGGCGAGTGTTTCCACGAGTGGAAAAAGTAATAAAAGTAAAGAACGATAGTAATTAATAATATATATAAAAGTAATAATATGTATAAAATAATATATATCGACGGTGAAACTACCAAACCACGTATCTCGGTTTGCGACGTCGCAGACTTCCTGTCATACTTTATTTTTTAAATGAAAAACTACTTAACGTCCAGTCTTGAAAATTTCTGTGATTTTTCCTCTTCGTGCGGAGAAAATTCTGTGAAAATTTCAAGGAATGATATTGATTTGGTCTACTTCAAAAAAATAAAATGCGAGCGTAGATTTTTAAACACCGCAAACGAGATACGTGGTTTGGTAGTTTCACCGTCGATATACAAGTTTATATAAGCAATAATATGTAAAGTGTAATTTCCATGGCTTTGGCTAACTTAAAGGTAGGTATATAGATCCGCTTTGAAAAGTTCAACACATGGATCATTTTTCTTTTGTATTTTTAATTTTTTATACAGGCAAATCATTGTAATCCAGTGGAAGAGTGTACCTCCAAAGTTATACCGTTGAATTTTATTCGGGATTCGTTAAAGTTGTCCTTTCTATGATTATATGTGGTAAAAATCCCTTTTAAAGCCACTTTGATAACCTTGTGAACCTTATGACACGGAGCCTCCCCCAGAAAACAGTAAACTGACAAACGAGTATGAAAATTTGGAGCCGGCTCCAAGAAGTATTGGATTTTCACTCTTTAAGTCGGATTGCCGGAGGCACATACGCTGGGATTTTCCGTAGAAACCTAAGGTTTCCGCATTTGTCCCTCAGCCCTGTATTGAGGTATTGCAGATTCATCCAAACCTCAACATCCTCCTAGCCCCTACTTCTTCTTTGCATTAGATTATTGTCAAGGCATTCACTGTCAGTCCAGGAATGTTTCTCTGAAACGACGTAAACTATATTTTCCTGTGTATGCTTTGTGTTTCAGCTTGCAATGAAGCCACCCAACTTGGGGTGGACGACTGTGCAATACGTCGTTTTGGTTTTATTTTGCACCTTTACCTCGCTTGTTGATGCAAAACCTGGTAAGTAACAATGTATTCCTCTCTTCTTTACTTTATTTTTGAAAAGGATCCTCGATCACCTCTCATTCATACCTATCATTTGGAATATTACCCACGAGGGATTAATCATCGAAAGTGAGGCCGCCTTCAAATTTCTTACCACCAACAACGGCGGTGGATAGGTATCTTCAGTGAGAACAAAACAATTTGGCAGAGATAATGTGCCTCTTCTTCAACAGGCTTGTCATCTCTGCGGCGACGCGACGTAGGATCCTGGAACTCGTGAAAGTCGGTCCCTTCGCACAGATCCTATTCCATCTAGTGATGTCATGTTCAAAGCTTCTCTGTTAGAGAATTTGCAGGTGTCTTAAATTTTGTGAATTTCATCTTTAAAATGATACTGCTAGGAAAACTGAGTACGAGGATATCCTTGGTTTCTTAATTGGACAATTATTGGAGAACATACGACAAAATAACCTAATCTGCTAAAATACACGTGTTTAAATGGAAAACGCCACCAGATAACGTTATAAGACGGCACATTTTCTCACGTTTAAATCTATTTTTCTCCAGTTTCCCATGTCAGAAAAAAATTATGAAAAATACTGCAAACTTAGCTCATTAGGTACTCTCAGATGAAGCAATACAATTTTTGTGTGCAAATTCTCCATTCCCCCTTAATCACAGTGTGGACCACATCCATGACCGTGCAAAACCATGTATTTTGCTTTGCGATGACAGGTGGAAATGTCCTATTTAAAATGTCCTATGTACGAAATGTCCAACAAGAAATATCCATTACAACAATGTCCACTATAATATGTCCAATTTATATATTGTCCATAGTAAATAAATGTCCAATGTCATGCAATTTTGTCCATTATACATAAATGCCCTTGCAAGTAATGCCCAATCATCGACTAGGTAAAGTGCGCAAAAAATGTGCACTATGTGCTTATAAATTTTACCTGACTGATGATATAATGGCAACGACTTTATGATGCAATCAGTACTCTCTCAGCTGTTCTGAACATGATGACAACGTGGCAGCTTATAATATCTTACCTATGTCCTGTTTTGTCAGATGTATTGGGCGAGCTTCTTGCAGGTTTGTCCAAGGGCAGCTTCGTGAAAACTTATACGATATACATTCCTGCCTTTGACTGTATCCGTCATTTCTGATTTTACCCTCCTCCTTCGGGACATTAATTAACACCCTATGGTTTTTAGATGCATATACAAACTCTACTCATTTCTCGTTATGGATATTTACTTACTATGGGCCAAAAGTTCATGGGACATTTTAGAGCGGACATTGTTGTAATGGGCATTTCTCGGCGGACATCCTGTAAAATGGACGTTTAAATGAGGATATTTTCACGTAGCACCTCATTTGCGACGTTGGAGACTTGATGTCATACTTTAACTTTTTCTTTGGAAAAGCAGCCGAGGCAATTCCTTGAAAAGCTCTTTGACTTTGCTTTTTTGGTAGCAGAATATTCCGTATAAACAAACTACATTGTTGACTTGTTCCTCCTCTTAAAAGTAAAGTAGGGTTGGAAATGTTGAAACATTTCAACGGAGCCATGTGATTTGGGAATTTGGTCATGAATATGGAGCCTACCAAGGGAAGGAGCTGTTATCGAAGGAACGCGGCTGTGAACACGAGCGTTGATTTGCAATCATGGTGGGAATCCTGCATCTCGACATCAGAGCCCCCTGCGCCCTGCCGCCGGTTACCTCTCCCGTGCCCCTTTGCCGTAGGCCACCCGACGTACGACTGTGATTGCGAGAATTTCCAGGAACGGAAAAATGAAGTCGGGGGAGGGGAAGGGTGGAGTCGTGGTCGTTCCAATCAGCCTCATGCAAAGCAAGTCGCATCTCCAGCCTCCAAGGATTGTCGGATTTTTCCCAGGGAATAATTCAAAGGAGCCATCGCCATTCGTGCACCGACTCGAGCGTCAACCCCGCCGCGCACCGCTTTATTCATCTCCATCCGTACTCTTAAATCTCCTCGCGGATCTCGTGACGTCCGTTTTAACGCTGCTCTTTCCCACTCGAGAAAAATGTGAGAAAAACAAATGTATTGCAATTCAAAGAAGCACTAGGCTGTAGATTGATTAACGCCCCGCGCTCCTCCAACGCAAGGCACCCGGAACACAAGTCTGCGCCTCTTATGGGAAATGCGTAATTCGTTGGAACCCCCCATCTCAACCTCCTTGAAATGAGGTTTTTGTGCTGAATATTGGGTGAAAAATAGCCACCTCGTTTCGATTTTTCTTCCTCGATTTTAAAAAAATCGGTGCTAGGCGGGTATCATATGTATACAGCACCCATCGAAGCTCCGTTTCAATTGGCTCGTGCAACGTTTAAACTGCCTTGCCAAGGAAAACCGCCGCGTGAGCCTTCAGACGCATCCAAATTTCCTTTGATAAAATAAGAATTTATTGGGAATGTTGTTAATATTTTTCAGACAATTTTGTCCGCACATTAATCTAAAATATGTGAAAATTTCAAGTAAAAATAAACATGATGACTCTTGCAACAGTGTCCCTCATGAGGGTAAATTTGGCTTCATTCTAATGTGCATGCGGCGTTTTTCCATAAGACGGCAGTTTTAAGCCTCCCTCGACACTGACGTCGGAGTGGCACGTCGCTGCAAGGCTTGGTAGACGTCATCGTCGGAGAAACGGGTTGACTTGAAGCCGACTGTGACAAATGATGGCGGTCGTGTCCGGGCGAAAACCGGTGGACCCGGTAGACAGGAACAGAGACACCACTCGGCCATTAGTCATTCCAGAGTGGACACAAACCCGGGAGCCATTATCATGCACTTTTCTTTCTCGATCCCGTTTTCATTTGGGAGCCACGGGAGCCGGCGCGGCGGCGGTTTAGAAAGTCAAAGTTGGCGAAAAAGCGCCGCGAAAGTGAGACGCGAGTGTCGAACGGACACCAAGTCGTAGCTGTTGTGACGTGTCAATGTGTTTCTCACGATTGGCAAGCGCAAGGAACCGAGTCTGTCCTAGTCGGAAAACACAAGTCATGTTGTGTTATGAACCGTCACTGTCATGTCTCCCGCCAGCGCTTCGAGCGGGTCCGAGGCGAAGCCGCCTGTCCCTTTCGCTGTCGCTCTTCGCCACCGTTTGCCAAGTTTCACCAACTCCCCGAGCCAGGAGCCGAGGAATATTGCCAACTTGGATTTTGTGGAATCGCAGGCATTTTTTAAAACCTAACCAGATTCGATAGGTTATGCAATCAAGAGTAGAAATTCGCCACTACGTTGCGCCGCTACACAATCTGTGCCTTTGAGAAGCAATATTTGTCGTAATCTACAAATAATGGAAGAAACTAAACGGTTAGCATCATACTCATAGCATCATGCTTAGCATGATACTCAGTGTTGACACTGAGTATCATGACGTCAAAGGAGGGGCTCGATGAGGGCCGTTTGTCGGCCCTCTGAAGCTGATTTCCACGATTTTTTGATCGTTGACTGTGTAAATTTTACAGAGCGCATCATTGTTTGGTCAACTGCTTTCTCCTCAGGTCCAAAACTGGCCTTAAGATGGGTCTGAAGACCGACTTCGGCAAGGAATGCGGACTTTTCGGCATCTGACCGCAAACTCGCAAAGCTCTAGGTTTTAGCCAAAATCAGCCTCCAGCCCATGTTAAGGCCAGTCAAACCTAACGTAACAAGGATTGACCAAATTATGAAGTATTCTTCAAAAATTTAGACCGTCAATGAGCAAGAAATCGTAGTTTTGTGGAAATTCAGCTTTAGTAGGCTGGAAAACGGCCCCTATCGGTATCTTTCCTTCTGAAGACAGAAGATTCGTCGAAAATTTTTATCAAATATTGAGAAAACGGACTTGGCTCTTTTACTCAATTTTTAAGAGAGAGATGCTATGCTGCTATCTCACCATACGCGCTGAGTCAAAAGTGCGGAGTTCTTTTCTCAATTTTTGATAAAATTTCTAACGAACCTTGACAAGTTTACAGTCTACTTTTCAATATTAATGCTGCCACACGTACGGATAAGTTTCTTCCATTACTTTGTAGATTATGGCAATGGAGATATTGTATGTTTGCGGGATTTGCGATTTAAGTTCTTTTTCTTACGAGAAACGTCGCGAGAAACCCGATGGTTTCGTTACTTTTCTCTGAAACAAACTCCAAAACTCAAAAAAAGCTCTCAAAGGTGAGGTCATAATAGAGGGGATACTCACGCTACCTTGAGGGTCCAGTCCAGCTCCATATCTAGTCAGATATGGATTAGAGCAGTCCATTATGGATCGTATTCGATACATCAAACAGGTGAGATTGTATCGATATCGATTGGTTCAACATGCAAGCATAACCTCAAATTTTTTTTTTTTTTTTTTTTTTTTTTTTTTTTTTTTTTTTTTTTTTTTT